CTTCAACTTCTCACTATTATCCTTCTACAAATTCGCAAAATGCAGTCGTCGAGGCTAATTCAAATAGAAATCAAAATCAATATTCGACAAATCTTAATAATTCTGGACAATACTATGCGTCCAAACATTCGACTATAGCGGGCGCTTCAGCACATCATCAGTCCAGCCATGCTACGGTATCGCAAAGGCATCCGCAATTACATCAGCGAGAATCGCAACCACATCAGCAAAGTCATTACACATGTCCACCGCCTCTCGAAAATCCCCCACCTCCACCCATTATCGGTAATAATAATACGGCTACTATGCCCAAACGTGGTTCAGGCGGTGGCGGTGGTCCCTATCATTATCAACAACAGCAGCAAACAAAATCGAATGTGTTTAGCACAGTTTCGTCTTCAGCTACTTTACCGAAACGTTTACATCAGCAACACATGCAGCAACAACAACAACAGCAGCAGCAACAGCAGCATCATCAACAGCAGCATCAACAACAACAACATGGACATTATGGTATTCATTCCGTTCAACAGCAACAATATCATGCTCCAGCCGCCATTACCGCCACTGCCGTTTCCGGTCAACAGCAATCCCAGCAATACCAAACATCCCAAATGCCTCCAACTCACCGCCCACCCATACCACTGCCTCATGAACAAGCACATTTACCGCCAACCTCCGATGTCGTTCAATATAATTCGATCAATAAACAGAAAATTTCCCATAAACAACCACCGATACCCTCACGTCATTCCAGTGCTCAGCAGAAAATTTTTGTAGCCACTAATCCTTTCATGCAGACCACAGCAACCAGCATGCATTATCATTCTCCGGAAGCGCAAACAACTGCAAATTTTAATGCCCACTCGCAACCGGTTTCCTCTTTAAGCAATTCACCTACTCCTCCGTCGTCCGTAGCTAGCATTTACGGTACGAGCAGTCGCCGTAGTAGCGCTAGTGGCGGTGGTATTGGTAGTGTTGCTCATTCTCATAGTTTGACTAACAGCGGTCATTATGAGATCGGCGGTAATGGTGGCGGTTCTTCTGTATACTATAATCATCATCACAATTCCTCCCACAATTCAAGTGAGAAATCGTTTAATTTCAACATGTTTGTTGCTTTCATGAATTTTACATTTTCGTTTTCCGTTCAACATTTTCAATTCGTTGTGTTTCCATTTTTCCAATTGAAAAACTTTGATTTGAATTTTACTTTGTTGTTTTTTTTTTGTTTATTTATTGAAAAATCTTGTACTCTGATGCATGCATGAAATCCTTCGTTCCCTTATTTTAACTATTCCTAAAAAGTTTACAATATTTGCGTTTTTTTTTTTGTTTTTATTCTTCGATATACGGATATAAAATAACAATATATACAACAATTGTTCAACATTTATTGCTGCTGCATTTTGCTTACTTAAGGTACTATTATATAAAGCTTTCTTATAAATGTATATTTCCTCTTCAATTTCATTCTTCGTCTTTAATGTTCTTAGTACTTATTTTTCATCTCATTCTCATCATAAAATGCACTGCTAGGAAATTCCATTTGCTTTCTTCTCTTATTTATTATTTGGCACAATTATTTTTCTTCCACATTAAGAGACTCTGTCGAATTATTCGATTTCTTTTTTTTGTTAACGATCGGGAACTTAGTGCACCTTCAGCCGAGTAGGTAACTTCTTTTGTTTACGATTTTAAATTTACATACGAAGTCAAGATTATAGCGTTTCATTGTCGCGGTCTCAGCGATGAGAATAAAGATAACGATGGAGGTAAAAAGATGGTAAGACCCCTAAACGAAGCTATCGAAAAAAGAGAGATTTCGTTGATATTATTTGACACTAGATTTACGGAAACCTGTTCGTTTGATGGATACATCTTAGGAATCGTCGCGGTCGCAAAAGTAAGGATAGTGTGAACTCGTTAAATCGTTGTTCGTCAGAAATATTTTATCGTTAGTAAGAAACTCGAGTTTTTACAGCACAAGTTTATTAACTCGTTTCAGATTTGCAAACATTTTGCAATCCTACCAACTTTCTCATACTCTAAAAATAATCTAACAGGGTTGCCATCAAATTTAAAATTTTCATTAATTCCCACAAGAGGAAGATGAAATTTAGCATAAACATTGTTTGATCAATTACGAACACCTGGTAAGCTCAATCTGTTGGCCCCAACGCGGAAGAAGCTACAAGAAGCTCGGAAAACGCCGGCAATTTTTTTACGATTTCATTTATAACTTTCAATTTCATTAAGGCATTTCGAAAACCTGTGACCGAGATGTTTATTAGAATCACTGTTCACACCACGAATAGTTCTAATCGGTTCACTAAGACCGCAACAATTTTTTAACTTTACATTCTTAATCGACCGAAGGAATCTTTCTGCGAAATGTCGGCTTGCTTCATATTTGACTGGTTTTTGAGGAAATAAACATGCAACGTCTCATTTTCCCCAAAGTAGCAAAAGTGGAGTTGTCCCGGAAACAAAGAGTACACATATACCTTAAAAACCAATATATAACATCTTAAACACATTGACTTTCTTATGCTGAATTTCTCAAAATCAAAAACCCGTTGAATTGATGCAATACAAATATGATGTCTTTACATAGATGTTTCACAGAGCGAAATTCACAGAGGAAATCATATAAACCATCGGATTCTCTTTGATTGATTGATTTATTTCGGCAATGAGTTTCGCGTTCGCCCGGAAGATCAGATGTGGTATAATTAGCAAATTTCTTAGCAATGAATTCTGTAGGCGGTAGAACATGTAATGTACTGGATCAGGCCGCTGGTGTTGGCACTTCTTGAAGGTTTATTGCCCCGTAACGTAATTATATTCGTTTACATTCGTAATCATTTCCTGAAGTTCTTGCTTTTCCTAGGATTTGTTGGAGTCCGTTCTTTTCTAGGTAATAAATTGGATTTCCTTCTGTTATCGACACATGCTATGGCAATAAGTCCTGCGAATCGTGGATTTTTTTAAACTGTTAAAACACTGGCGATCCACTTCCCAGGAACTGAACCTAAGCTGGCAAGACTTCCTGTTACCCTACCTGTCAAGTCTATTACATTGTTGTTTCTGTGACTTTGAAGCTTTATTCAGAGACAATGGACTCTAATCAACGCTACGACCTTTCTCTACTTCCAAGGCTATCCTACTGAGTGTCGTCATAAGAAGCAAAGCTATGTATTGGAACATGTGCCAAACGGCAAGATTAATATCTGCTGTTAACAATGGAGAGGGTATGACTCTTCGGATTAGAATTGCTAAGCGGGATTTGCTATATGGGGACAAATTACTTCATACTAAAAACCCTCGATATTATGACTTTTGGTATATTACGCGCAATTCTATCAATTATTGGACGTAGTATTCCTTAGGGATGGTTTTATTTGGTTCGAACAAATTTTAATACACCACGCCCGACTGATTCCCTCAACTGGAGGCCTTATCGCCGATGTTATTGGTTCGGATAATTTCTGTTATGGTTATTTAGACTTTTTATATTGTAACGCATCCACTGTTCTTCACTCGTAAGGACGTAGCTGCGTTATCCTTTGAATTATTCAGGAAAAATAAACTTCTCCACAAATTTCATTTTTTGAACACGAAACTACGTCTATTCAAAGCTCCAAGAAACTATGTTGTATACGATTTAGAGTGATAACTTATACATTTATATACATACATACATAAAGACAGTACTTTCAAATGAAGAAGTCACTCTTTCAGTAAAACGCTATAGTAGGGTGTGGCGACCCACCATTAAAAATAAGGCGTTATATGAGAAGACTTCGGAAAACTGTTCCGATTCAAACCATTGCTAATAGCGTTCATCTTTGGGCCAAACACATTTCTTCAAAAATAGCGTCCAGTAAGTTGAACACAGAAAAACGAGGCAAACAAGCTTAGATCGATCGATATAATAAAAGGTGGTCCTATCCACACAATCTTACCACCACGTATAGGCGACGTGACCCTAGTAACCATGTTTTTGAGTAATACGCAGCATATATCAGATTTTTATATTTCTGTAAGATGCAGACGAGCGGGTGCAAAGGCGCATTTGGTCTTTAATGAGAAAAAATTTTTTTAAGACGAAACTTCTAGATCAAGCGACGTACATTAGTGTTAGAAGTGGACCGATAAACCATTTGCGTTAATCGCGCCGAATCAAATTATATGTAGTTTGCGGACTATTTTCAACGAATATCCTCAAACGTCATAAAGTCCGGATCAGTATAAGGCACCGCCTATGAAGCGTAAGGTTGCTGCAATCAGTTTTTTTTTTTAGTGATAATAAGTCTCGTATTATTTATGAAGCTTATCTTTTTTTTTTAATATTTTTTTATATAAAATAAATATGAAAATTTTTTCTTCCATTTAACAATTAATAATTTTGTTCTGAACTTTGGTTTAAATTTTTACTCTTGAAAGTTAAGAGTTAAACATTAATAATTAACAATTTTGTTTATCGGTTTCGTAATCGGCATTTTTTGTACGCCTTTAAATTTTGCGTTTTTTTTTTTTTTCTTCTTTCTGCTCGTCTCTGAACTCGAATCGAATCATGAAAACGCATAGATTATGCCAGTGCACTAAATGCTGATAAAACTGGTAGTATACGAACAAAAGCAAAAGCAGAATTCCTAGAGAATTTAAATGCGAAATTAGCCAAACAGGGACTGTCGGGCCGAGCATTTGCAGTACGTAATCTAATCAACAGTAAAGCTTTGGTAAGTAATATCGCTGAAAACAGGAACATTTTGTCTCTTTTTTTTCTTTTTTTTTTTTTTTCTTAACTAAAAAGGCGTTTTGAAAGCCTTTCTACAGCTAGAATTTAAAATTTTTGTAATTTCTTCTTCAAATTTAAGCTTTTTTTATATTAAGTAATTTCTTTTTTTATTTAAATTAATCGCATTTTTCTTCAATTTATACACATATGATGTTTGTATGTATTTGTAATTGTGTGCATATATATATATATATATATAGATGTATCAAAATCCTCAAACTCTTACACGTCCTAGTGCACAATATCGCAATATTTCCTGTTCTGTCATCAATCAATTCAACTCAATTTCCGATGAAGCACTATAAAGGTATTTTCGTAATGGAATTTTTTTCCTGTATATTGTTTTTTTTTTTTTTACATATTTGTAATAATAATCACTTGACATCACAAACATGGCTTTGTTTAACTATTGTTATTGTTGTTGTTGTACCGTTTCGCTTCTCACATTTACCCTATATATACTAAATTATTGACAATACTTCAGCAATAAATCATTGTTTCTTACGCCGTCTTTAATAACTTAAAAGATAATTCATTTTACATCAACATAAATATAATAAATTATACCTAAATAACAATTGTACTCACACTCTTACGTAATGCTTTTTCGTTTTTTGCCTTAGTACAAAACGAAGATCGACGGGTCTTAAAACCCTCCCCATCAATCGCTTATTTTTAGCTACCCACAGATGTCGAGTTTTCTAAGTAAATAGTTACATTTCTGTATGTAGGAAACCTTCTTTTAAGCTTTTTACTTAAAGCATAATCCACTGCAATTTCATTCCCCCTTAAGTTTGATTTTAGCAGAAAGCTTCCTATAAGTTACCTTATGAATAATTATGTAATAATTTGTTGAGAAGCTATGCGATGAGGAGTTCAATGTCTACATTTAATTGACAAGATCATCTTGAAATCAACGTCTCCAGTTTAGGGTGGCATTCCGGTTTGATTTTTATTTGATGAAATCTTTATTTATTAATTAATTGTAACGTCTATTCAGTTGTTACGTAACATTGTTTTTTCCTAAGCGGCTATGTCCGCCTGCCCACCGCTATTGATCCCAGCGACCGGAACTCCATCTTGAAGAAGTCATCGAGAGTGTCAGGAGTCGTCTGCGTGCAGACGTGCAATGGCGTGTGCGGGCCAAAGACTGAGTGTTTCCCTTCGAGGAGTACTTGTTGCGACTGTGATTATCCTTAAATAAAAGGCATCAGACAATTAGAGATGCGTGATAGACCTCGCCCTGGTCAGAGGGGAGGGGTTTGAATCATATCCAAACTTTCATATCTGATACTGCAGTCTTGGTGTAGGCCCTCTATCTGGCACAATTAAGTTGCTTGCCGGATATTGCTAGTAAAGCATCCATTAGACCTGCACATCTGATCTGATTAAGCCGCCTAAGCAGGTGCAGACGCTACACATAAAGGCTATCCGTCCATCTTACGAGACCGCGATTGCAAATTTAGAGACACGTCACTGAGAATTTGATTTCAATTTTCTTGTTTATCTTAGGCAGCATCTTAGGTAGCAAATAAAAATTTTCGAGCAAAAGATAGGGTATTCATATCGCTTTTATGTTTTCGCAATTTGTCCACAAATTTTGAAAACAATTTTTTTTACTTTATCGCTAACGGTTTAAAAGCACAATTTTCAATATGTTTAATTTTTCCTTTGCTGCTCTGCTCAGTAAGTGAGTGTAATATAAGTAAATATGTTACGTAAAGAACTTGTAAACATATTCACTTTAGTATGACAGTAGATATCCATCTAAAATTTTTCAAAAAAATTTCCCATTTAACTCATGCCCGTTCTTAATAAAAATTTGGTTGATTTAGATATATTTAGCTTTGGTGATGGGGACCCGAGATTCATTCACTTCAAGTCAAATACAATGCAATTTTCTTACTTATTTCAGTTTTTCTTTTTTTGGCTAATAAAGCAACGCTTTCATTATATTTTTCTGTCTTTACGTGATCTTACTTCTTCATTCGAAAATATGATTTACATTTTAAATTGTTTCTCCCGTGAAAGTATGGGACATACTTCCGATTTTAGTTAATTACTTTCTTTATGAAATATTTATAAGTAACTAATAAGTAATAACATATTAAAAGATTTTATTTAAAGACAAGTAAAGAAATTTTAATAGGCCACGACTGACCATTAAATACCCTACAACACTTCGTTGGATGTAGCTATTCATATAAAGGCTTTCCAAAATAAACCACAATTCGTGAAAGTAGTCCAATCCGAACCATTTTCAACACCCTTTATCCTTCGGCCAAGTCAAGCCGATATACCAAATTTCAGGAAAGTATCTCAAAAATTGCGATCTGTAGGTTGGACTGAACACAAGAATACAAGGACCGAAAAGCATATATCGATGCACAAAGTGGCATCGATCGGCTTAATCTCACGTCTTTCTGTGTATTGCGTACATCTGCACAAATTAATATATCCTTGTACGACAAGTGGAGAAAAGCTATTTTCACCTATAAACAACAAAACATGCCTTAGGCACTTATATATGTATAATGATTGGTAACGAACGAGTTCATTGTGACATGAGAATGGTTGAGCCGTTGTCTTAAAAATTTTAAGTTGATGCTAAAACTTTTAGGAAAATTTTCAAGTTAACGTAAAAAAACAAGTAACAGGGACTAATGAATCATCCGCAATTTCCAACAAAGGAGGAAGAGAAGTATATAAACAAGATTTCTAATTTTTACATTTACCTACGTAGGTCGGTATGATATACGATCGCTGTGACTTCCTCTCAATCCTGAATACTAGCCGACACGATCTAATTAAATTATTTATTGTTTTTATAAAACTAAATGTAAAGAAAAGGTATTCGTAGAAACAAAATATTTTACGAAAAATGTAAACCATATTTTCGGACAGAGGTAATAAATTGCTCTTACTTTAATTTACACATAAAATATAATGTACATGTGCCGTTTGCATAAAAAAATTGTTAATTTATACACAGTTATTAACAAAACTTTACTCTATATATTATAATTACAGCCGGATCCACGCATTTGCCACGAATCATTGATGGATCAAATTAAACGTGGAGCTACTTTGAAGCGTAATCAAAAGATAAATGATCGTAGTGCCCCGAAAATTTATTGAAGGTGTTAAAACCGATATATTTCTTGTTCCTTGCTAGCCCGTTTTCTGTCTCCGTCATCCCCTCATTCTTTGCTCAAGGCAGAAACCTAAATATAATATATACCGATCGATATCAAATGTTAAACAACATAATCATTTTTAAATACCTTTTTCTAATTTTTCTACGACCTTTTTTTTTTGAAACTAAAATGTATTCATATTTATATATTATAATAACAGATCGCTATGCGGTTTAAATAGAAAGCAAACGCAAAAGAAAAAAAGAAGAAACCCCCCAACTGAATTCAGATATAAATTAAAAATTTGAAATCCCATTAATAAAAACGATAATAAATAAAGTGAAATATATTATTTTTAATTATTAATATTTAAACTTATGGATATATGTATAAATATATATATATATATATATATATCCATATATATCCATATATATATATATATATATATATATATATATCTTTGGCTAATTAATCAAACAATTGAAACAATTTCTCGCTTATCATATTTTACAATTTAATAAATTAGTTTATAATTATTATTAACTTTTTTCTTATACCTGTGCATCTTTTTGTTAATAACCTAATGAACTAAATTTTATTTCTTTATTATATATACATCTTTTATTTGTTTTCTTTTTAAAATTATTTCTCTAATACATGATACCATTCGAATATAATTGATTTTTTTAAGCTTTATTTTCGTTATCCTGTTTACCTTTTTTTCTTCTACTGTTTGTTAATTCTGTTTTTTTTTTTTTTTTTTTATATATGTTAAAGTAAATTAATAACTAAAATAAATTATATTTTAATATAATTCATGTATCGTATGTATATATTTGATATCTATATATATACATATGTTCAAATTTATATAAAAAAAATTTATTTAAACGAGAATTCGAGAAAAAAAAAAAACTAATGAAAGCAAAGCAAACAAGAGCCCCACACAAAACACATATACCATTACTCAACATAATCATTAAAAAAATAATAATAAATAGACATACATAGACCCTACACATATGCCGAAATACATTTATAGACCATATATATACTATTTATGATAATAATATGCTTGAATTGAATTAAAATAAAACTTTATCACTAATAAAATAAAATTATCATTCATTTTTCTTCTTTAAGTCTTCTTCTCTCGCCTGAGTAGCTGAGTGGATGGGAACCGCGACTACCAGACCAATGTACGCGGTTACAAATCTCAGGTGTGATAGAGTTTTCTTTTGTCTTTAGTGTAGTGAGTGTTCATTCAGCAAAAACACCTTTGTCGATTAGGCACACACCCGGCTGTGACTATTACCTTTCTATTGCCTTCTAAAAACGTTTAACTCTCTATTATGAGCATTCCGATCAGTAAAACTTTTATTGTAAATAAATTCAAATTTGAAAATATAAACATTTTAGTATTTTTCGCCATCGCAGAATAAGATTTCTAATAATCGGGCCATCGCGTACATCAAGCAACCACAACAAAATGCATAGAAAAATAATTAGTACTAGGATCCCCATTCCAAAGCAAATTTTCAAATTAAAATAAAATAATTAAAAATATGTTATGCAAACAGATGCGTTGTATCAATTAATATCCCAAGTATCCCAAGTACCCTTTGTGAGAAGGCATTTAAATGGACTCAAGATATAAGAGTAAGTTTTCCTCAATTCCAATTACAATTTAACAAGCAGGAAAGAAGAAGGAGATTACCCCAGTTGTAGCAGCAAGTTGTGGTCAACAGATGAGAAAAAGTCGAATATGAAAGTCGAAGAGGCGAAAAGTGAATGGCTGCTTACTCAAGATAATTCAAAGCAGTTTGCGTGTCTACAGATCGATGATACACCATTGTTGGCTCTTGATGATGAATCGAAAGAAAACCGTTTTAAAATCTCAACAACACTTGGCCATATTTGAACATCGGGCTTCCGACTTTAAATGTTTCAATGATGTTTCGTAAAAATCGCTTGTTGTCAATAAATCCAAAAAAGAATATTAGGTCACCCAATGAACTCTGTGAGGCATCCAATAGAAATTCATCACAAACCGAGACTACGACACCCGAATTAGGGGAGTTTCTTAAAAATGCAGTTGAAACAAGTACTCCATCCATCAAATGGAAATGGAAAAAGATCCCGATACAGTATTAACGGTAAACCAACCAAAGAAGTGGCGGCTATCGGGCTTAAGACTTACTCGTACTAGTTCAAAGAAATAACAAGGAGAATAAAGAGAATTGACGAAACACCCAATTATATATATATTATATATATATATATATATAAATAAAAATATAAAAAAATTACAATATTTATATAACCTTTATCAATAAGTTCTGATAAGAGTTTGTAAATCTATCACGCCTTTCTACCAAAAGAAAGCACGAATCAAACAAACAAAGTATTTCATTAGTTCTTTACAACGATGCAAAAGCAATATCGGTATTTAACGTTGCCGACATAGAGTGCTTTCTTTTTTGTGTTGCATGAATCAAATGACGGAACGCACTCTTTCTTGTAAAAGATTATGCATGTATTTGTCTTCTAAAAAAAAAGAAAATAGTCATTTTACTTTATATGCGCCCTTTTTTTCTGTTAAACAATACAAAAACGATAAAGATATCAAAAAATTCGTTGAAGATTATTTGTGTTAATATCCTTATTTGCTCAATAAATGTTATATATAAGAGCGGTCTCGAAATATATCTGACCAGAACAATAATTCTAAAAATATTACATAATCATATTAACGGAGGAGAGTAGAATAAAATGTTTCGAAAAGAATTAATTTACGGTGTTGTTGCCGAGAGATAGTTGGCGGACTAATTTTAAAGTTATCAAAAAATATGTATTCTATTCATTTATATATATATATGTTTAGCTTTGTCCGGAAATGTGTATGGGAAAATTCTGCTTAAACTGTTTTATAAAATTACTTTATTTTTTTGCTAAGAAGTAATTTATACTTAGCTATTGATAAAAACTCAATGAGGGCAGTGAAAAGTTGATAAAAAATAAAAGAAAAATTTGTATATTATATCAAATGAATGGAGCTTCAATCTAATTTGAATGAAAAACATGAAAAATTGATAAAAAAATCAATGAGGGGAATGAAAAATTGATTTCTTACACCGCGATCTGATTTGAAACTGCACAAACCAATCTACTCAAAAATCGGGAGAATCAAATCTTGTGATAGGCTATCTATTGTTGCATTCGATGAATGACCATGTTTTTTATAGCGACTTCATTTTAAGAGGGATTTTTAATAATTGACACCTAAGTGTCTTAAATGTAATTCCCTTAACTATTCAAACGGGGAATAAAGCGAAGAATATCTGTAACAATTTTGGTTTGTGTAAATATAATCTGGTATATAACCAATTCATTAAAGTGCTTTCCTTTGTAAATGAAATTTAGTTTTTATTAACTGTTCCGGTTTACTAACGAAGTTTCTACTTGTCTTTAATAGCCATTACCTCAAACTTATGTGTAGAAATTCCACGGAGCTATTATATCGAACGTAGTTGTGAATTGCGAAGTACACTTTGTTCTCTTTCGTTCCCACTTTGTTTTACCTAAAACTTAATTCAAAGCGAGTTAGAAAGGAAATAATTTTCGCGATTTGTTTCTAAGATTTTTTCATTCTCCCTCACAAATATGCATTGTAACTTTGCGTTATACATTTCATAACTCAGTAAGATTATGTCCATCGAATGCGTCCGTGACTTATGCGTAGAGTAAAGAGGTACTGTACTATGTACGCAATTAGCTTCGTTTTACAAAGTATAATTTTTTATAATTTGTTGTTCAGCAAATCAACATTCGAAGCTTCACTGTGGTATGCACAGAATAGGCCCAACGTGAACACGATGTTCTTCTTAAGAAGTCATTTGCCTGAATCAATTGGAATCATCACTCCGTACCTGAAACAAGCTAAACATTTGCGAAACGTTTTCGATGATGCCGACGTAGCGATGCCTAAAATTGGTTCTGTGGAAGAATTCCAAGGACAGGTATAACCTTCGTAAAATTACAGTTTGAATTAATGCTAATGTTGCTTTCACTTGGTTTTTTTTAGGAACGCAATATAATATTAATTTCAACAGTCAGGTCAAGCAAGAAGCATATACCTGGCGATGTGCAGCATGCATTAGGTGTCATTCAAAACGAGAAACGGATTAACGTGACGATATCTCGAGCTCTTCTTATAATATACGGCAACCCCGACCTACTCCTTTTGGATCGTCGTTGGCGCGCGATCATAAAATACTGCGTCGATAACGATGCCTACCTTGGTCGAGATTTGCCGGAATTGTGTGTAACTTTTATGTAATATGTGTATATATACTTTAATAGTTTAGTTTCTTGACTTGAATTACTTTTAATTATTGAATTAATTTTCAAATTTGAATATGTATTTAGTTTAGTTTCAATTTTTTTTGTTTTGTTGTTGTTTTGTTGTTAAATGAATGTTTGTTTTTTGTTGTTAAATGAAAATTAAAAATGTTATGTTTTTCGCCTTAATTTTATTTTTTGCCTTCATTTTATTTTTTGTTTTCTGTTGTGTATTAATTTATATAATTTATATTTAAATATAAATGCAATAAATAACTTTATTTATATAATATCTTTATTATACATTTAAAATACTTTGTTAGTACATAAAAATATATATATATATATATATATATATTGAAATTGTTATTCTTTTAAATGGTTTTAATGGTTTCCTGATTGTTTCCGATTCTTTTTCCTTTACTTGTTCGCTTTCGCTCTTCTATCATCACCTCTAGATGTTTAGTTTTTTGGAAAATAAGCAAACTAAACTTATTAAATTTTACAAGTATGGGATGAAATCATATCTCGCGCTTCAAAAAACGTTGATTTTCTTAAGAATATGACTGCCGTTAAGCAATTGGCCGCGTGTAAGGTTATTCAATTGGGTCGGATTTATTTGGATATGTTAAATGTTTAGAAAATAACATCGGAAAATATCAAAATAATGTAAAATAGCAAACAAACGAATCCACATAAATGTAATCTGTCATCGTAATATAAAATATAACTAAACGATTAAAATTATAATTATAAAGTGTAAATAAATAAAATTATTGCATTATTGCATTTTTGGCGATACCATTGTTTTTACATTTCGCCTACGGAGAAAGAGACATTAAGCATATAAGCACGGTTTTCCACCTTGAGGTAGGCGCCATAAATAAATGGTTAAATTCCATGTTGAAAGGTAAAGCACAGAGTCGCGTATAATAAATGAATGGTTAAATGCCCAACTTAATCGACAAAAGCGACGCAATTCTGTTAAATAACAGACCAAATGCCCAGCTTAATCGACAAAAGGTATTCGATTCTGTTAAATAACAGACCAAAGGGATCCGATTCTGTTAAATGCAAAGCCGTCTACTACCACATGCGGTCTTTTTTTTTTAAATGTAAACAACTAAAATGTAAACAAAGAGGTATGTGGCAATGCAAATGTAAACAAAAATTAAAATTTGCAACAACGGTACCAGAATTTGCAACAACAACCCCATACCGAACTAATGGCAACTATTTTTTTTACTGGAAAATCTAAATCTTATGAATTCCCAGACAATAAAGGCTGCTTTGGTTTAAAACCAATTGTAGGATACTCTGTCGATACAACTGTATTGTACGTTTGTATATTCACCAACATACCGTAAGATGAAAAAAAAGAAAATCAACTTGTTTTATACCTTAGATTACCACATGCATGCAGTTATTCTACCGGTCTTATGTGGAAAAGTGTAAAGCACTAAAGATGGCTTTAAAATACATAGGTCTGCCTTAGATTTCTTCAATTGGAATTTCATGAGTCTGCTTTTACTTACACTATTTTTCATTTGCGTTGTATGTAGATATCGGTGCGAATTTAACTGATTCCATGTTTTGTGGCGTCTACGGCGGTTCGAAAAAGCATCCAGATGATTTGGATTTAGTTCTAAAACGCGCCTGGCAACAAGGTTTACAAAAAATCATTATCACAGTAGGAACACTAAGTGAAGCTGACAAGGCTTTAGAAATAGCAAATAAAGACGGCAAGTAAATTACCGTTAATCCTCGATTTACTAAAAAATCCATATTTCAGAACGCCTGTATGTAACAATGGGTTGTCATCCAACACGGTGTGGAGAATTTCTTACTAATCCCGAAGAATATTATGAAGCTTTAAAGGAGAAAATTTCGTCGAATCCAAAGAAAATTGTAGCTATTGGTGAATGTGGTCTCGACTACGATCGTTTACATTTTTGTGATAAGGAAACTCAGAAAATTTATTTTGAGAAACAACTACATTTAGCAAAAGAATTCCAACTGCCATTGTTTCTACATTGTCGGAATTCACACGAGGATTTCATGTGCATTTTAGAAAGAAATCGTTCTCTATTTGAATCATGCGCTGGTGGTGTAGTGCATAGTTTCGACGGATCCTTATCGGAAGCTGAAAAGATTCTTAATTATCATCCGCAATTGTATTTGGGTATAAACGGTTGCTCTTTGAGAACGGTTGATAACCTTACAGTAGCATCTCAGTTATCTAACGAACGTCTTATGATCGAAACTGACTGCCCTTGGTGTGGCATTCGTCCTACACATGCTGGTTTTGAATTTGTAGAAACTAAATTTCCGAGCGTAAAGAAGAAAGAAAAATGGTCAGCTGAATCCCTGATAGAGGGTCGCTGTGAACCCTGTCAAATAAGGTGAGACCCTTAATAGAATTTATTTATAATTTGAAGAATAATTTGAAATGCTTGCCGTTTTATTCTATCCAGTCAAGTGTTAGAGGTTATAGCTGGCATTAAGAAGGAATCTGTTAACAAGTTGGCCGACGTTATATATAATAATACTGTTAGGTTGTTTTTTAATAAGGAGATGAAATAAAATTTCATCTGCATTTAACTTCAAAGATATTGTTTAATTTTCTTGTCGTTTGAAGTCTATATGGAGTGTGTAAGCTGTAGCGAAAATAAAGGAAGATGGATAAGAAGCCTCGTTGCTGTTAAAACAAATTTAAAATATCGGATCATCATCTCAAATGTTTAAGTCAGTGTTTAAAGGAAATAAAGCATGTTATTATTGAAGTTGTTTTTCATTCACTATTATAACGTTCTAGAATAGCTCGTTGCGGTTTGTATGCTCAAAATTATGTTAACAGAAAGATCAATTATAAGACATCTTAACACATGCTCATGTAGAAGTTTTTCTTTTCTCATTTTCTGTTTGTTTCTCTTTGACACGTTCGGTTGCCTTATAAAATGGTTAGCTTACGCCTTATCCCTTAACCCAAAAAATCTTTGCCATTTTGTAAAGTTAAGGAAAACTGGATCGCATTCGCGTTTTATTAAGAGACAAAATAATAATAAAAAAATATAAACTCAAAATTGGAAAGACATTAGACAAAAATACAATATTATCGCAAGAGATTACTGATGTTCGCTCATTAGCTATATTAAATAGTGAAATAGTAGTTAGTAGAAATGAAAGCCACCTCTGCATGCACGCCAGTTAAATTTCATCCCATTTCTTAAATTCTGTACCTTCGGGAGGCTTAACTTCCACCTGTTGTTTAGACACTTCGTTCCAGTTAGTACTAAGGACAGTGCCGCCAGATTCAGAAAATGATTTATTCATGGCTTTTTGCACTTCAGGCGAGGAAGAACTGTAGATTTTCTTAAATAAACGTTGCAGGGCTTCCTCACTTTGTGCTTCTTCCTCTTCCTTTTTTTCGACTTCCTTAGCCAAACTATCCCAGTTCTTTTTGTGTATAGGTGGGGGAGCTATTGGTGCAACAGATGCCGTCTTGGTTTCTAGTGATTCCCAACGTATGCCCGCTTGTTTTGCCAATGTTATTTCTACTTTCGACGGGTAATCCTTATAAAACGAACGTTCCACATTAATGGGAGCATAAAGTCTTAAATCGAGTTCGTAACCATCCGCGGTCATGTTGAGATGTTTCGACTCAATTGTAACTTTATAATTCTTTTCCTTGGCATTTTTTAGCAGCACTGTTACGACAACTTTTGCATCCGATTGATACCAATCATGACGAATGGACATTTTGGTGAGTATTGTAGGTTTTTTTTTTTTGTTTCTTTTTATTTGAATATGAAGTGAAAATGTATTATTGTGCTTAGTAATTTATAAATAAATTTATAAAAGTTCCCGAGATGATTGTCAAAAATATACGATGTTTGTTGTCATTTTATTACGTTGTGCTTTTATTGACATTTTCTAGAGAATATGTAAAGCAAAGAAATGTAAGGAATATCAAAAACTGTGAATAATAGAGTTGCAACTAGAAAAATGTAGCAAAGAAATCACAAAGCTCGGTAACCCTATATTTAATTTTCAAAGAATGGCTGAGTGATAAAGAGGCGAGCAACCGCTTCAAGTCGATTTTTTTGCGCTTCTTTGCTTAGAGAGGTAGAGTAACGTGAATATTTATTAGCACTTAATGTGTGGAAATATATTTGTATTTAATTTCGTTTCTAAGAGCAAGAGCGACAGCTGAAAAATGTATAAGAGTTTGTTTGAATTACTTTAACATTAGCCCCAGAGAATTTACTCTTGTTTTTTTTTACATTCTACATGTTCTTCTCTTACATTTGCATACGATTTAATCATTAGTCTCGTAATACCTAATGGACATTCCCGGAGGAGAGAAGATAAATGTTTCGACTACAATCCGCGATAAACTCATTTTCAATTTTTCACATACATCATTATATAATAATAAGCATGAGGCGCGATGGAAAAAAGTCTCCCTTAGTTTTGATGTAAATAGCGAAAAACTTCTTATCCCATCAAAAAATATATGAATGTCATCCTTTTTATTTATTTTCTTTAGTAGGGTTTCTCAACGAACCCACAATTTGGACATTTTAATTCAAATAAAATTGTGCACAATGTAATCAAGATGCCGTTACAAATACAAATTCATCTTTTGATGCGATCATGCGATTTTTAAAAACAAACTGTACTGAGACTCTTTTGTGAGACTTCAAATTGAGGAGGTGTAACAAAAAAGTGTTGAGAGCAATTGGTTTTTATAGCATAATCTACTAACTAATCTATCGTTACTTGCCATTAGTCTGTCTCTCTTCTCGAATTTTATATTAAGCACACTGAAAATAATTAATTAATTAATTACTCTTAAAGCGGCACAATACATGCAAAACAAATGAGAACGAATATATGCTTATTCTCAAAGCGGCACAATACATGCAAAACAATTGAGAACGAATATATGCTTATTTTCAAAGCGGCACAATACATGCAAAACAATTGAGAACGAATATATGCTTATTCTCAAAGCGGCACAATACATGCACAACAGTAAGAGAATAAGCGTATATATTCTCAATAATTCGAAAAATGAGAGAATAAGCGTCCAATTTGTTTACATTTGTTGAATAATTGTTCATATTTACATGCTTTTCATCCTTGGTCCACGATAACTGAATTTTAAACTTAATAACCATAAATAATAATAATAAACTTAAATACCATAATTTCGATTCTCAAGAAATATGTTGATCTGATCAGTAAAT